GAAGATGGGCATGGATTCTAGCTCCGGGTCAGTCTTCCTCAGCAAAAAAGAGGAGGGATTGGCAGCTGGTGTTAGCTCAGTGCTAATCTTCCTCAAATAAATTAATTAATTCAATTAAATTAAATGCTGTCATGGCTCAAGGTGTTTATAGCCTGAGCTTTTTAAAAGTCTTGATTTGAAAAACAGTTGTGATATGCTAACGTCCTTCAGATTAGATTGATGAAGCTTTGCGGTATTGTTGTTTTGTTATGATTTCAGGCTCGCGCTGTCTTGGAACGAGAATTTCACAACCTTTTGGTCATGGGGACGGACAGAAGTTTTGATGAAGTGAGTTTTCAGCCTAATGAATTTTATTTAAATTTGCATTCAGTGTGAATTATTTGTTCATATGCACGTGAGCCCCGTCGGCAGTCTCTCTTTTAAGTGTGGAGATGATTTTACCTCCTGAGCTAAGCTTTGCTCTCAAAAATGTGTTAAATGAGATAGTAAGAAACTTATATTTTCAGTCTGAGGTTTTCTGTTTTTAAAATATTTGCTATTTAAGTTTTGATAGCCCTCAAAAATGTTGTTCCCATCAACATTGGTGGCAGCCGAGGCATGGTGTCCATGGGCTATGTTTGGGGACCGCTGGATGTCTGACCCCAATCCAGAGTCCCTGTGCTTTGGAGAAACCTGTTAGAAGGAGATTAGAGAAACGCAACATGTTAATTTCCCCTCACACAGTCGTGACTCGTTTGTTCCCACACTGTTTTTATTCTTTCCTTCGTTGCCCCTTAAGAAAACGTGAGTTTGCCTGGTGACTAGGAGGACAGCTAAAGGAGCGCTTGCTGGCTCTTCCCCGGCTCTAAGGCAGAACTGCTTACAGCTTGGAAACTATTTTAAGACAAATAGAAATGTATTATCTTATACGGCAAGAAGATGATTTCTCCAAGATAAGAAAGGAAACAGGGTGATGAACAGGAGGCACATGCACCTGGCCGGCCCAGGGCCGTCCTCATCGATGCGCAGTGAGGGCCCCACATAGTGTTACTGGGCCCGTCACTCTCAGAAGTTCCCGGTGGGGACAGTAGATCCTGTGGTTATCAGGAACGGGTTAAATAGGTGTGAACAAACATGCAGTGACGAGTTCAGCAGTCAGGTCAAGGCTGGTAACTTGACTGTCTATTTTTGTCCTTTATTTTAAAATCAGTCTTGTTTTCTGTCCTTTAATTTCCCAGGACCATGATAAAAGCTTTAGGAGAGCACCTTCTTGGAGAAAAAAATTTAGACCAAAGGATGTTCGTGGCTTCGCTGCTGGGTCCGCAGAGACTCTCCCCGCCAACTTCCGGGTCACGTCCTCTCTGTCCTCACCCTCCATGCAGCCGAAGAAGACGCAGCTGGACGGTAGGTGTGCAGGGGCAGCCAGCCGCTGTGGGCTGCATGAGCAGCTTTGTGGCTGGAATGTTAACCGTGATCCAGAATGGCCTCTTGATTGTGTTACAAGGCATTGAGTACTGGTGCATGCCCAGGTTAAGTGTTTTAAAATGAATCCTAACATCTGTGCATAACAGTTTAACAATAATGTAGGTTTTTTAGAGTCTTGTCTGGTTGAATCTTAGCATATCCTTCCAACTAATAAAGCTGAGCGTCGCATGTGTTCTCGGCGTGCTGAGTGGACGTCCTGTAGCCTGTGTGTGTGGCAGGCAGCCCTGGAAGGCTCCGCCGGAAGGTGGTGCAGCAGCTCTCGGGCCACGCCGGGTGCTCCCGGGACGTCTCTCCACCTGGAGAGGTGACTGAGTCCATCTTAGAGAACACAGTTTCCCCCTCTGTGAGGCTTCCCTTTCCTCTCTCCACCCCTGCTGGCGTTGGTCCCTGTCACTGCGCACCATAAGGATGGAGAGGAGGAAGAAGGTGAGCCTGGGCAGGTCGTCACTGGAGCGTGGTGGGCCGTGGGAGCGCACGAGCCTTGCAGTCAGGGTTCCAGATGGAGCTTGCGGTTTTCCCTTTGACCGCCGCTCCGCTTGGAGGACACGGCTGATGACAAGTTGGTCGCGCTTTACTGACAGACCTCTCAGCTCTGACCGCGGCCCCCACGATGACAGGATCAAGGGCAGATGGCTTCGGTGGACCCTGGCTCTGCCACTGAGGAGGGGCACAGCCTCGAGCACTGTGCCTCAGTCTCCCCGTCTGTAGGGCCGTCGTCGTACAGCCGTGTCCTCTTCAGCGGCTGTGGCAGTGAAACGGCTGCTCCTCGTCAGGCTCGTAGGAGGCGTCTGCGGGTCCTGGTCCCGTGTGGTGCTGGCCGCTGGGGCCATTGTAGCCACACTCCCGTTACGAAGGACTTCGTTCTCCTCTCTGTGGCCCATGGATCGGCTATGGGAAAGGAAGCGCTTTTAAAAATTGTCCTGAGTTGGCTTTTACAAGTTTCCCTGTTCTTAGCCCTTCCCGTATGTAGGTTTGTGAGTTTGGCTCTCACTTGCTTATATCAAAATGAGAGAAAAGCGCGTGTGTGTAAAGCCTTCGCTCAGCCGGACGCTTGGTGAGATGGCCCCCAGGGCAGCACTGCTGCTGGAAGCCTGCATCTCTCTGCAGAGCTCAGTGATCTGGTTAATGGGGCAAGAGTAGCAGTGTCTTCAGTAGCATTCTTATTCTAAGGAGCATGAGGTAATTTGTATAACTCTAACGGTAACTCGGCCCTCCACTTATTGAATAGGCTGACGGAGCGCCTTCTGATTTTCTTCACAGCTTCGTGCCCAGTTTCCTCAGACTCAGTCACACTTCCCGTGTTCAGTATTGACGGCGACATTGAGATTAGAGTTCAGATAAATTAAAAATAAGCCTAGAGAGAGGTGTAGGGAATATATTACATGGAAGACGGCTGTTGACCCTTGTAGGAA